GTAAAAAATTATATTATATACATAATTTACATATGTATTATATATATTGCTAAAATTTCAAAATTTTTAAAATACAGATTAGAAATCTTTTTTTGATCTCCGTCTGTTATTAACGATTTTCGAATCGAAGCTGTTATATGGATTATGGTAGATTATTTACTCATTCATAGTAAATTGAACGAGAATAATAATACGAAATTAAGTAGTTAAGACAAATTAGATATATATAATATNATTAATAAATTTAGAAAGAAACGAAAAAAGGAAGCAAATGATCATTTAAATGAAATTATATTAACTTTCATCATTCTAGTAATTCGTTCGTTTATATACACCCTATATATAGAAATAAAAATAAAATTAATTTAAATATTTAAATATTTAATATTTAATTTAAATATTTCTTTTCGCTTTAATTTAGTTTTAATCGTTATCTTAAATCTTTTTATATAATTGATCTGTATTGTATTTTACAATCTGATACATATTTGAGAACTATTCATGAGTTTTCGTTAATAAACTTATTTGCAATATTAATTATTGCAATAAAAAGAGAAAGAAATTCTGAGATAGAATTAATGAAGGTAACAATTATAGTATATAAAGACGTCGATATTCGATATTTGTTTAGTTCTCGTTGGATGTATTTCAAGTACGTTGGAGTCTGTGTCTTTATTTTAAATCACATCTAAAAAAAAAATGAAAACAATCGTGATTATTTCTGCTATTTGTATTTGCGTTGGTGCATTGGTAACCCTTCAAATATTTTTAATTTTATCCACATTTAATATAATTAGTATTTTGACATTTTGACTTAAATTTTAACTTTTTCTTTAATTCATTAAATTTTATTAAATTTTTTTTTATTTTAATATTTATGTGTTTAAAAATATTTTCAATTGTCACAACTTATATCTTTACAATAGATTATTTTCCCTTTAATATAAATTTATTATATTTAATTTTTATTTAATGATGCTACTTTTTCGTTACTTTTTAAAGTATAATATTAGTAAATCTTTCACATTCGAATTTGCTTATTTTCGAAATGAGACATAATTAATTAGGAATTTTAATTATTCCATAATATTAAATAATTTTAAAATGACAAAATGATAAATATTTGTAATAAAAACATTGGTTTCAAACATTGGTTTCAAACATTCAATATTAATTTGTCAATATTGTGTCTTCTTTATCAAAGTATTTTCCTATTACGATCAATCAAAAAAAAATCTTTTGTAACATAAAATGAATAATTTGATATTTGAAACGATTTATATTGTCATTTGTTATTTATTACTTTTTTTTACAATAAAATTCTTATGTTAGATTTATTTTGGACCTCTATATTTATTCATAAATATATTAATCTTTATCAATTTTACGATCGTTGTATTTTTACGATTACTTTATTTTGATAATAAAAATTGAGATGTAATAATTTTTCTATTTCGATTAAAAATCTTTTTTTAGAATCCTTAAGAGATGTCTATTTTTGAATAATTAAATGTAATGACACAAATGGTGGAATATTATTTTTAACCTGAATTGAACGATAGTTTTAAAATTCATTATTTTGATTATGTTATGATACTATAAATAAAGATACTATTACCAAAAACATTATTAATATTTAAAATAAATGGAAGATAAAAGAATATATATTAAAAATAAATTTATGTTTAATAAATAAATAAAATTAATTTATATTAATAATTTATATTAATAATTTTATATATAATAATATTTTATAATATTAATATTATATAATAATTTATATTAATTTATTATTTTATAATTAATTTATAATTAATTTAATAAATAAATAATTATTTTAAAAATATTCTATTTAATTTATATATAAATACTTATATATTTCTATTTAATTTATAGATAAATCTATTTATTATTTTCATAATAAATTTTAATGTCTTTTTTAGACACATGAAGAATTAAAATCCGAGCTACGTATTCTGCAGCCAATTTGCAAGGCAGAAGTTGGTAATGATCAACGTAAGTTGCATATATATAATAATAAATTGCATATATATAATAACTTGAAAACAAAATATATAAATAATAATATTTCTGATTAATATTTTTATTCGAATTTTAGAAATAATAGATGATGTTAATGATGGCAAGATCAATATAGATGACGAAAATGTTTTATTATTCGTTGAATGTACGATGAAAAAATTTAATATTGTTAGTATAAATAGTATTATTACTTAAATAGAATTGTACATATATATATATACATAGAAATATAAAAAAATTATTGTCCTTTTTGCAACAGGTTGACGAGAATGGAAATTTTAAGGAAAAAGATACCAGAGATGTTGTAGGAGCAGTTTTAAATGAGGATGAAGTTAATCAATTAATCACCGAATGTTCACCTATCTGTAAGTAAAAAATTATTAATGAAAAAATAAAATTCTTTTATATTATATATTTTAATTATTATATAAAAGTTTGAATAAATTATTTATTTTTGTTTTTTTTACATTACAGCTGATACCAATGTACGTGTAAAAATTAGTAAGATATTACAGTGTTTTGCGAAATATAAAACAATAAATGCTGTACTAAATTCCTAAATATTCAACTTTCAAAAAGAGGATTATTCAGAATATGATCTACTTATTTTCTATTTTAATTGATTTAATGTATTTTATTTAATTAAAAAAATATTTGAATACTTTAATTAATAAATTGGAATATGGTTATTTAACATATTTAAGTTTTTAGTTATTGAATTATGTTTCTCCGTTTTCCTAAATTTTTATATTCTTATTAGTCACTTGATATAGTACGTAATTATTTACTATCAAATTTTTTTTACTTCGTAATTAATAAATTAATAATTAATATTTAATAATTAATGATTAATAATTAATAAATTCGAAATTCTTTTGTTTTTATATACATTACATTATAATTGAGAACTATTTTATTCTAAAATATCGAATTTTATGCTAAAATAAATTATTTTGTTATTTATAAAAATTATCAAAATATATAAGATTTTAAATTAAATATTTAGATTGCAATTTTAGTCGCAATACGAATTATTAATAAAGTACAAAATAGATCATTCAAATCACTTAAATTATCATTTCAAAACACTTAAATAAGATTGATTTTGTTATTATTGTAGATTATAGAAATTATCTTTTTGGTTCTAGGAAAATTGGTCAAATATTGATGAAACCAATCGTTTATATTGTTTTTACTCTTTATTATTATCGTTTATTATGATTATAATATTCACGTCTGATTTCTGATTTATATTTAAATGTTAAATAAATTTTATAAGAAAATTAATTAATTAATAACATTTAATGACAAAAACGTAATTAGTTTCTTCTTATTATAAATTAAGTGAGACTTAAATGTTGTTTTCTTTTTCTTTGTTTATGTATAATTCATATTTATAAAAATTCATTTATTTTAATAATATTTTTTATTTGATTAATTAAAAAATAATTTCTAATTAATACATCTATCTATTATTTCTAGCAAAAGATATTAATAAAACATAATTATACTTATAAAAGAAAAAAAATTATAAAAAAAATTTTAAAAATTGAAATTTGATTTAACAGTTTGCACAATTTTTTTAATTTAATTTAATCATTTAAATTAAAAAAAAATTAATTTTTCAAACATTTCTTAAATTAAGTAAGGCTTAAACGTTGTTTTCTTTTTCTTTGTTTATGTATAATTTATATTTATAAAAATTCATTTATTTTAATAATAAAAAAATAATTTATATTTGTATTTATGCATATATTTGTTATTTAAAAAACATATTTTTCATGCATAAAAAAGTAAAAAAAATATAAAATTTTTAAAAAAATGTAAATAGTTGGAATTGAATTTGATAGTTTGCGGGATTATTTCATTATTTAGAAATTAAGAATATTATGCGGCTTATAAAATTGAATGTAATTTTCCAAAAATTATGTATCTCATAAATTTTAAAGAAAGAATTTTTTTATTATACATATAAAATATTTGTTTATAATATAATTTCTTTTAATATATATCATTCATTTTTATATCATTTCCAAAAGTTCTTCATGTATAGATGGCCATTTAATAGTTTTCATAAATTTTGTAAAATGTGATCTATAAAATATAAAAATTTCTAATATTAATTCTAACATAAATTTTTATTGAAAATCAAATGTTATTTTGCGATTTAATAATCATATTCTTTATTATATGAAAATCAAATGCTATTATGCGATTTAATAATCATATTCTTTATTATATTATAATATGTAACTCTCTTTATAGTAACTAATATTCATTATTATTATTATTATTGTTATTATTGTTATTGTTATTGTTATTGCTATTGTTATTTTTATTGCTATTGCTATTGTTATTGTTATTGTTATTGTTATTGTTATTGTTAATGTTAATGTTATTGTTATTGTTAATGTTATTGTTATTGTTCTCTATTTAGTGATAATCTTATAATAATAATAAATATATAATAATAATAATATATATATATATATATATATATATATATAATATTTATTGGATTTATCATCATTTTTATTTTTATATAAATAAATCAATATATAAATGTAATAAAAATGATATAAATCAAATATTATAAAACATGATTAAATTTTTTATTATTAACATATCTTAAACAAAAATCTCTAACACTATTAACGAAGACAATTTGTAATCATTCATTTATTTCATCGTTAGATAAAATTACAAGATTTTAACAAGATAATCATTCTATTATACCGTTAGATACAAAAATGAAATTTATAATGATTTATTGATGAACATACGAATTTTCTCGTGTTATATAATACATTCAAATCAGATATATATGTGGAAATTTTCTATTATAACATATTGAAATAAATACAATAAAATTCAGAAATTCTTCTCGATTGTTGTAGGACAAAATATAAAAAAGCAAAATAAAACAAAATTTGCAATAAAAAAAAATAGTTTTTTCTCTATATTCATAATACGATATTTTATTATGGAAATTAATGAAGATTTATGAAAAAATGTATTTAATAAAAATAATAATTTTATGTTAATAAATATATATAAATACATTTATAACTATTTTCTAATTATATAAATATTA